GTTAAAAGCAGAGTTTACTTGAAGTTCAGTAAGCAGCTTAGAGTGTCTTTGGCAAGGTGATACACTTGGTGGATCCTTCTATGGGTATTAATGGGAATTCACAGTTGATATACTATATTATAATGTGAATAGCTTTTTTAGAAAACAGTATTGCACTATATTGGTATTTTGCATTTTGGGTAATACCATGTGGATTTTCATACGAGATGATCATTGAAGTACCAGACACAAGGAGACACAGAGCTGAAGTGAATCTGAGAATAATTGATAGAATATATACCAAGTAAGTGAAGGGTAAGGGTAGATAAAGAACACTGGTGAACAAATACACATATGGTTATTTATTATAAATGTAAGCACATTGGATAAGATTTAAAGGGCATGATGTATTGCGCATACTACACTATATTATATTTCTTCTTTTTTTTTTTGGAGATCACTGTATGGGAAGATTGGGTTCACAGGAAGAAGTTGATGGATGTATGATGGCAGATCTTCGGTTATACAGAGACAATATTGAACTTATCATTTTGAGAGCGCTGTTCACTTCTATCATTACCATCTCTTTCTGTGAGGGGAACAGATTGACTCCAGCTGGTAAGGGAAGGATCATTGTTTACTACATTGTACGTTAAATAAAGGGGGGGTTCCAGCGCACTGTTTAAAAAATACTTATTCCTATAAGTTATTGCACCTGGCACAAAAGTGTTTCTTTTTGCACTGACTAATTGAACAAATGTATTAAATAATAAATGAATAATATAAACTTAAAGCAGAACTCCAGGAAAAAAAATGCCCCTATGCAGGAGGGGCTGTGCCTGCACTGCATGGGTTAATGGCTTGTTTTTGTCTAGGGGATTAGAGAGCCAAGATATACTTACCTAATCTTCCGATCCTACCAGCATTCCTGCACCCTGCCGTGGTCTTGCGGTCTTGTGCAGTGGACTTTTCCTGACATGATTGACCTGCTCTGGATGTGAGGATATCAGGAACAGTCCACTGCTGGATGTTGGTTGAAGCTCTGTGTTCCCCCCAGACACAGGGCAGGTGCTAGACCATTTTGCGCCCTAGGTTAGACCAGCTACTTGCGCCCCCCCACCAAAAAAAAGTAAAAATAAATAAATAAAATGTTTTAAAAACAGAAGAAAAATTATTAAATCAACAAAAACATGAAACTTCTAAATTTCTTTTAATTTGCAAAAATAAGTGCCATAAGATGCCACCAGCACCAATATTAAAGACAAAATCAGTGTCACAGACGGACTGCATGGAGCACGATGGATCCACACTCTAACAGATCCCAGGCTGGAATTCCCCAGGCAATGGGGGAAGATAAAATGCTGTGACAGCAGGCTGCCTAGCCCTCACACACACAGAGAACATCTGAACAGAGCGATCACACATAGAGAACATCTGCACAGAGCGATCCCGCACAGTGACAGATCTAACACAACACACCAACACTGACACAGATCAGCAGGCATTAGAAGAGCAGGCTTTGGGATCGTGATGATGTCATCACTCACTGACACATTGCACATGTGATGGATGGTTAGCTGGCCAGGTCACACTCACACAGACATGAGACATCAGAGTCAGACATTACCTTCCTCAGGTGCAGCTTTGCCTCTGCTGATGAAGGGCTGGAACTCCACAGTCATCAGCAGCCACCAGTTGGCTTTGCAGTAAGGGATTGAGTCTGAGAGGAACACTGGAAAGAGTGGCAGCTCAGCTGCTACAATTACCCCAAACACCCGGCATCTTGCTCTGTCCTTTCTTCCTCCCCTATGCTGCCCCTCCCCTCAGCTGGAGGATAATTCATGACGTGGTGGTATCCCACACAGAGAGAGTGACGACCTGAGCTGCACCCAGGTGCCCCTAGGTGGCAGTGCACCCTAGGCGACCGTCTAGTTTGCCTAGTCAGTGAAAGCCCTGACCCTGCCTAGACAAAACGAGTACTTAAACCATGCAGTGCGAACACAGCCCCACTGCATAGGAAAAATACCTCAAAGTTCTGCTTTAAGTTTTCACAAAGGCAGGAGGCAGTATCAGTAATCAGTCCTCTCTCCTGAATTAAAAGTGAGACCTCTGACCTGCCCAACTCTACCCATCCTAAAACTCAGAGGGTAACTATAACTTGCAGTTTACTAAATTAATACAGAGTAGGATTAGCAAACAGGGTCAAAATGGCAGAGTATGCATATAATACAGAGAAATGCAAGACAGATTATGAAACTGTGCAAACATCACCTCCTCAAAGCAATGTCTCTGCGGCTCAAGCAGCACATCACAGTCTCTATAAGGCATAATGTAACAGAAACTAGAGAAAAATGACCATTCCAGTAAATAGTACATTACACAAACAGCTACTTGTGCTTATGCTTACAGACAACAACCCCATTGTGAAGTCCAGGATATTTCTGGTAACAGAGAGTGGCTGGAAGAGCCTTAGGTCTGGTAACACAGGTGAACAGCTGGAGAGATCTCAGGGCTGGCACCAAAGGTGAGTGGTGGTAAGACATGCAGATGGCTGGAGGATGCTCAGGGCTGGTAATGGGAGAGCAGCTGGAGACACAGGGCCACCCCACGTTGGTAGCAATTGGAGTAGTGCTCCCTGCAGTGGCTGGATCTTCTGTAGAAGCTGCATGCTTTTGTGCTCCTGGCCAGATGGCTGCATGACAGGACTATCCATGAAGGACCATACACCTGCGTGCAGATAACATGTCCAGGCACCTCTGCCTCACCAGATGCAATCTCTCAAAGCTGTAGAGGACAAGAAGCAAAGAAACATATACTCCTTGAGCATGTTCAGGAGCTTTGGAATTGTGGAGACCTATGGGATTATAAGAGCCCAGAGCTTGTGGAAATGGAGGTAATGGAGCCCATGTCTTAACCTGGGGATGGTTAGTAAAGGAGCACTCTACACAGAATGAGTGAATTTACATGCCATTTTTATTTTTTTCTCAATTTTAAGTACACCTTTAAGAAAAATGCAGTGACTGCCATTGCTGGTTTCTTTCTTTGCTAGATGCCTGGCTCTGGTTTAAAGACTTAAGAGCCATTCACCTTGAATAAGCATACTATTAATGAAAGTCAGAGAAAAGTCAGTATTGCTTACTACTATATTTATTCTAGGTTGGTGACTCAAAGTGTTGAGGCCAAATCATCAGCAAGATAAGCAGACAAGTAGCATTTTTCGTAGGAGAAGTCAGCAGTGGCAGCATGTACAATATAGTTTTCTCATGACAGGTTTCCCTTAAGGAGACTCTGATATCTCTCCATTTGATCATTTCAACCGAAGAAACACTCCGTGAGTCAGACCACAGTAATATTGAATAAATATCAGTATTAAAGTAAGAAAAAAATATATTTTTAATCAAACACAATTTATCTGTTCTATAGTCATGTTAGTGGTGCAAGTTCTACAATAAGCAAGAGCTTTTCTGCGTTTTTTTCAGCAGCCCCTGAACTCTCTCTAATGTTTTCCTATGTGTCATGTACACTATGTCGTTTACAGTCATTTACAGGCAGTTGAGTTTACAGTCGTTTTTTTGAATGCACCAAACTTGCGTTCAGGAGTAGATTTTACCGGTGTTTCAAGTGCCAAATGCTTGGAAAAGCGTCTAAATGCAGTTAAACGCATTTATAAGCATTTGCGTTTAGAAGCGTTTTTTAACTATTCGATGTGCAGATGCTGTAACTTTTTTCATCATCAGAAATGCATGCAAAGCATTTTCCATGTATTCAAATGGACCTAGTACACCAGCACAGTCAGTTCCAGGTTTTGTGTGAAGGAAAAAATGGTAGAACGTGCTACATTATGCTCATGATGGGATCCATAGTGAATACAACCAGAAAAAACAGGTCATCTCAACACATACTGCTCTCTCTACTTCTGCTTTATTTCTCTCAAAATGTCTAAAATCGTTCATTTTGTACTGTTTTTCAGTGCATTCTGGGCATTTGGGAAGGTCTCCTGAGGTTATCGTTTAAAAACACTTCTAAACGCAAACGCTCATAAACACTGTATGCAAACGTGGCTAAACTAATGTTTTTTTAACCTATGTTTTCCAGCAGTCAGTTTCCATTGTTCAGAAGTATTTTCCAAACGCCCCGTGTACATGAGCCCTTACAGTGAACTGAGGCTTCATTATGATGAAGGAAAGACAGCTATTATACCCTTACCAAAAGTATGGGAAAGCCTTTGTATCCACCTAAAAAAGGCAACAAAAGTGGGTGTGATTCATTAAGAAAGGGGGGCACTACAGCACTGTACGTTGATGACAAAATTTTACATTTTGAAATTTTAAAAAAGAGTACCACCTGGAGATGAACCTTGTACATATATGTGTGGGACGTATGCATTGAAAGCTATGCACAGATTTTTCACATATACTGTATGCCCTATTGTTGCAAGAACTACGGCAATAAGTGTTGAACTTGAAACACATACTGTATTACTAAACCTCAAATTCCAGAATAATATTACCAGAGTCAAAGCTACAGTTGTGCTCTGGCAGAAATTGTGAAATTTAGGCATTTTTTTTTTAAATATGACTGATCATGCCAAAAAACTGTCTTTTATTTAAGGATAGTGATCATATGAAACCATTTATTATCACATAGTTATTTGGCTACTTTTTGAATCATAATAACTGAAATCAGCCAAATGGCCCTGATCAAATATATACATACCCTGGAATGTTTGGCCTTGATACAGACATACAAGGTGACACACACAGGTTAAAATTGTAAATTAAGGTTAATTTCCTACATATGTGGCTTTTTAAATTGAAATTAATGTCTGTTTATAAATAATCAATGAGTTTGTTAGCTTTCATGTGGATGTATTGAGCAGGCTAGATACTGAGCCACAGGGAGCTGAAAAAAAACTGTCAAAAGACCTGTATAGCAAGGTAATGGAACTTTATAAAGATGGAAAAGGATATAAGGAATATGAAAAGCCTTGAATAAACCAGTCAGTATTCTTCAATCACTTATTAAGAAGTGGAAAATTCAGGGATCACTTGATACCAAGCCATCTGTGATGCTTGGCAGTGTGCGGATCATCTTCCTTCTCAAGTTACCCGCAGCTGAGCAACTGTGGATCAAGCACCCACTGCCTCATATATTGAGCAACTTTCTCTCTTTCTTACGCTCTTTCTTACTCAGGTAGGCCAAGGAAGATTGCACAACTGCTAGAAGAATTGTTTGGGATACAAAGAAAAACCCACAGGTAACCTCAGGAGAAATACAGGCTGCTCTGGAAGAAGATGAAGTGGTTGTTTGTAAGGGGCACAATACAACGATACATGAACAAAAATGAGCTGCATGATCGAGTTGTCAGAATGAAGCCTTTATTGCACCAATGCCATAAAAAAGCCAGGTTGCAATATGCTCGACATTTTGACATGAAGGCTTCTTTCTGGCAACTTGAACATGCAGCTCATTTTTTGTTCATTGTTGCTCTGAATTTGTGCTTTTAAAGTACTTTGTGTGTGAAATGCATCTAGGCCCCATGTAATACTTGTTGATCATTGCTTAACCCCCCGGAGGTATTCCCGAGTGTAGCTCTGGGATCCCTCGAGCACTTACCTTGTCCTGTGGTCCCGGGATGTCCCCCCTGCAGCGTCCCCGTTAATGTCCTCTGGCCGAGGCCGGCATCTGTCTTCCGAGTTCTGTTCCCTGCGAGTGTCGGTACGTACGGGGGGCGGAACCGGTGGGAATTTAAAAAATGTAAAAAATTGACATTCACTCAGTACACTAAAATCTGATAGTATTACATTACTGTATCAAACCATTTCACATACATTTTGTCTCTAGTGCTTTGTCCTGTGCCCTGCCTGCATTTTTATTTTTCTTTCTGCCTGGAAACTGAGAAACGTCCATGGCGTCCAAAAAGCGTCCCTTTAGGTCAACCTTTTTAGACCACCTAGAGAACAGCGATAGTAAATTAGAACTACTTGCAGAATTGAGTGATAATGATTCGTGGGGAAATTCGTCAGACACTGAAAACGATTTTGAGACTGATCTCAGTGATGTGCGAACTTGGCATTATATTTCAAATTTCAGTGTTTTTGGTTTGATTATATTATTGAATTCAATTTATTATTATTATTTTTTAGGATTATTTGTTATATTATAATTTAGGATTTTGTGTTCCAAATTTTATCATACCCGGGATGTTTACTAGACTCTTATTATTATAAGAATTGTTATTCCTAAGAATTACAGGCCTACAATAAAAAAAACAACATATTTCCATTGAAAACAAGGTACTGCTTTGAGCACAGAAATACTGACATAATCACACCGCCAGGGAGGTTAAAGGATACGGTCATATTTCCCAAAAAAATGATAAATGCACATTTTTTTGCAGGTAAAAACATATACATGTATTATACATGTATATACATGTACATGTATACATGTATTATACATGTATTATGTTTTTAGTTAGGGACCTCTAAAGCATTACATTCATGATCATCAGATCATGGGTGTAATGCCATTGTCCTGCAGACTATCTGTGTATCTGCTGCCCATACCTTCGATATGGACAAGAAGTTACACTATGACAGGAAGCTCAATAAACTACCTAGAGCAATCAACGGTGCTCTGGTAGTTCATTGAGATCTACAAGCCGAAAGCCACAAAGGGTGAAAGCTAGCAAGGGGACTCATGGGGGTTGTGAGGGCTGGTGCATCTGCAATATTACACCTTGAATATGGGTGTAACATGTAGCATGTCACAAAAGGTGAACTTATCCTTTAACCCATGTTATGCACATGAAGATCTACTGGCTGATCTTCTGAAGTCTCATACTGTTCTTTCCATAATAAATATTGGATTTGAATCAACAGAACAAAATTCTTGCAACTTAGTCTTTCCAAAGAGAAAATGAAGTACACTTACAGGGTTAAAGTATATGTCTGGGCAATATATACTGTACATCTCGGCGGTACTTGCACATTTCCCCATGTTTTATCCCTTTGAAAAAATTGCTAGACAGAAAGATACCCCCACCCTTCACTGTCCTTATCCACATAAAAACATTGATTTCTTTCCCGCAAAACAATGCTGCTGCCTTGGCTCCCAAGAGCCTCTCGCACTCACTATGTGTAGAGAAAGAGCTATTGGTAAATGTAGTTCTGGCGGAGTGCCTACATCAATAGAATCTGAGCTCCCAGAAGCTGCCCCTGCAGGAATTTTACAAGTCTGATAATGAAGGGAGTAATACAAGCTACAATAATGCTGAGAAATGTTTTAGAGAGCAAGAAGGAGGTTCAGGGGTAAACTTGGGTAATGACTGGAAATACACTTTAGGTAGAAAAGTTACATAAAGAAGTATACTACTCTAGTTCATAGCGATGATAATATTATACCATGAGATACATGTGCCAAGGGAGAAATTGATATAACCTTCACTTTTCAGTAACTATGTTAAAATCATATGGTAAATATGGGTAATGTTATTGTTTTGTAGTATAATATATTTTTTTTTGTGTAGGTAGATTTGAATGGATGCAGGTAGAGTTTTGTTGGCGTAATATGACAAATTTCCATACAGCTCACATCGTATTAACATGAGTGGTAATAAGCACTTTAGCAAGTTATTCACAACCATCAGTACTCTGAATATATACACACTGTTTATCTCAATAAATGATTTCTTACTTCTTTCTCAGCCTATAATCTACTTGGCTTCATCTATCACACATTGCCTTATTACATCAGATCGTTTTTGGTTTTTTTCCCAAGATTCCTGTTTTGACTGTTCTCTGTCCTTTTATCTTTTTACTTCTTCATTCAGATCACATTTGCGGGCCTTTTTTATTTAAGAAGACAAATAATAAAGTACATTGTACAGGGAATTACAACCTTCCCTAAGAATTCAGTCTATCAGCCAACCGGAAATGATCTTTAATTCTGAAAGCAGTTATCTAAATATAGCCATGCTTAATTATTTTAAATACAACAGTTTTTAAAGCCCAACTCTAGGTGCACCTCCCCACCCCAAGTGCTCCCCCTTTCCACTTTTTTAATACTTAAAGCGGAGCTCCACCCAAAAGGGGAAGTTCCGCTTTAAAGACTGGCCCCCAGCTCCCCATTAAGGATTGGCACCTTTGGGGAGCGAGTACCTGAAATTGACAGGTACCCACTTCCACTGCGATCGCCTAGGCGATCGGAAGCCAAAGTTGCCCCCCCCCCAGTAGTCTTCTGGGACACGTGACAGGTCCCGGAAGACTACAGGACTATTCAGAAAGCACAGTGCTATTTGAGCATGCGCAGTGGGTACCCAGCTGTGAAGCCGCATTCTGTCACAACCAGGTGCCCACACGGAAGATTCCGGCGCCGGGAGCACCGAACGGTTGGTGACCGAGGGACATGTGAATGGCTGTTTTTTAAAAGTCAGCAACTACAGTTTATGAAGCTGATGACTTTTATTTTTTTACAGTTTCACTGGAACTCCGCTTTAACTTTTTCAGAACAGAACAGTTTATTCAAACATATCTCCATGGTCCGCTTTCTCTTTGGCCCTTTTTACCTCGATGTGGGCAGTCCTCAGTGATGCTGATAACTGAGTAAGTTTTAGGCCACGCAAAATTCGACTTTGAAATTGTGTGACTTCACTTGAAATCGCATGATTTCAAAGTTGGATGTCAGTGCGACTTAGGTGCGACCTGGAAGACATCTGTGCGACTTCATGCACAGATGTCTATGCAAGTCACACTTGAGCTTGCAAAAAAATAGTGCATGAAGTACTTTCATCACCACTGCCATTGCAAACAATATGGTGTGACTTGTCATGAGATTTGAAACGATCAAATTGCTTGAAAAGTTGCACCGGTGTGACCGGGGACCTAATCTGTGGTGCTGACTTGGTGAAGAAAACAGCTAAAGAGGAAGTGTGGACGCAGCCCCATTGCAAGGGATTATAATAAAGTTTCCTGTAGAAGGTCCTGTTTATTAAAGGAAACCAATCTGCATCAATGAAAGATGTGTTCTGCATGGATAGAATGAAAAACTCAAATGTGCTTCCACCTAATATAAGAAATCTATGAAACTAAAATAATAACAGCTGCTGCGAACACCACTTCAAATACAAACTAAAATATAAACAAAGTGCTGCGCTGCTGACACACTCAAAATGCTAAAAATAAAATATATAGTGAATTAGAATGACCATGCATTTATAAATGGTGAAACTTACAAAAATCCCCTCTGGCACCAATCCTCAAATGAATAGAAAAGTAAAGCTGATCCATGCAGAACACAAATTAAAAAATAAATGAAGTGCTGTGCTGCTGACACACTCAAAATACAAAAAGATAAAATATATAGTGAACTAGAATGACCATGTATAGTTTACAACACCTACAGTATATATGCACAATCACATCCAAACATGAATTACTATAAAAAGAATAGATAAAACGGAAAACAATCACCTAGAAAGGTGTTTGCTGTTTTATTTTATTCTTTCTAGTAATTCATTTTTGGATGTGGCTGTGCATATACAGGTATTGTAAACTACATGCTCATTCTAGTTCACTATATATTTTATCTTTAGTATTTTGAGTGTGTCAGCAGCGCAGCACTTCGTTTATTTTTTAGTTTGTGTTCTGCATGGATCATCTTTACTTTTCCATTCACTTGAGGATTGTTGCCAGAGGGGATTTTTGTAAGTTCCACCATGTATAAATGCCTGGTCATTCTAATTCACTATATATTTTATCTTTAGCATTTTGAGTGTGTCAGCAGCGCAGCACTTCCTTTATTTTTTAGTTTGTGTTCTGAATGGATAATCTTTACTTTTCCATTCACTTGAGGATTGGTGCCAAAGGGGATTTTTGTAAGTTCCACCATGTATAAATGCCTGGTCATTCTAATTCATTATATATTTTATCTTTAGCATTTTGAGTGTGTCAGCAGCACAGCACTTCCTTTATTTTTTAGTTTGTGTTCTGAATGGATAATCTTTACTTTTCCATTCACTTGAGGATTGGTGCCAGAGGGGATTTTTGTAATTTCTACCATGTATAAATGCATGGTCATTCTAATTCATTATATATTTTATTTTTAGCATTTTGAGTGTGTCAGCAGCGCAGCACTTCCTTTATTTTTTAGTTTGTGTTCTTCATGGATCATCTTTACTTTTCCATTCACTTGAGGATTGGTGCCAGTGGGGATTTTTGTAAATTCCACCATTTATAAATGTATTTCAAAAGAAGAAGACATAAGAAACTGGATCCCAGCAGAGATCCTTACATACATATGAACTGGAGGAAGAATGTAAAGAAGTAACTGATATACAAAAGCTCATTCAATAGTGCAATGTGCAGCAAGCCATACCATGGCAAATATCAATATAATGAAGTCAAGTCAATAAAAAAATAATTCTGATCGATTG